CCTCCCCCCCCCCCAGGACTGCAATCAACCTGGTAGACTCAGTCCAGGCAGGTCCAGTCCCTTCTTCCCAGACTGAGCCAAGCGTCCCTGCATAAGCTCCAGGTTTCAAACAGGCTGCCTCTACTTTGACAGAGAAAAGGGAGTGCTCTGGGAGGGCCTGCCAATCAAGGACCTGGGACCTGAGCAGGAAGACACTAAAAGGCAGGCAAGGGTGCAGGGACAGGCAGGTGAGCAACATGGACACCTCCAGTTCCTCCCAAATTCTGTTTACTACCTTCGTCCTAAGATCCCAAGCATAATCTGACAGCTGCTGCTGAAGGGTAAAGCCTGGAGACCTGAGTGTCCACACTGACTGGGACCCCTTACCAAAGGACCTCGGTGGCCCTTTCTTCTCATCTGGAAAGTGGGAGGTAGGATTTGAAAGCTCTGAGGATCCCTTGAGCTCTGGCAGGCTGTGGACTGCCCTGGTCTTTGGAGCCAGGCCAGTGTGGTAGTGGTTCTGGGAGGGGCTGCTTGCAACCACCGTAGACACTGATCCGGGCCTTCCCCAACCTCCAGCTAATGGTGGCTAAGGCTGTCGTTATTGTGCTTTGTTTTGGTTTGGGATTTGTTTGGTTTGGTTAGTTGGTTTCTGGGGTTTTTGTTTGTTTGTTTTGTTTGGTTGGTTTGGTTCCCCTGCTCCCAAGACAGTTTTTCTCTATGCAGCTCTGCATGTCCTAGAACTTACTCTGTAGAGCAGGCTGGCCACAAACTCAGAGGTCCGCCTGCCTCTGCCTCCTGAGTGCACCACCACCACCTGGCTTGTTATTTATTTATTTTTTATGGTGCTAAAAATAGATAGAACCCAAAACCTCAAGCTGCTAGGCAAGTGCTCTGCCACTGAACTACATCTCAACATGTCACATTCTTGTCTCAGGTGTCATTTAGCACCATGGATAGATAGAGGATATTTGAATGTGATGTTTAGTAGGTAGCCTCTCCTCTATAACCAGAGCTGGACACCACAGATGTGCTGAGATTGGGATTCAGCTCTGCTTATATGGGGTCCGGTCCCTGTTGTTTCGGGGACTGGGAGATTCTCTGGCTCAGAATTCACTCTGCAGCTGGCCACATGAGGAGAAGGCATTCACAGGATACTATTGGGAGACTGACATGGACATACCCCTAGTCTGCCACCAAGCACAGCTTAGGTGCCCCCACTGGTGGGACATCCCTTGAACAAATGGATCTTGTTCTGGGGCTGGGGATGTAACTCCATTGGTGGAGTGCCTCCCTAGTATGCACAAGGCCCTGGATTTGACCCCAGAACAACATAAACTGGATATGGTGGTTTATGCCTGTTATTCTAGGACTTTGGAGGTGGAGGCTGGAGGATCAGAAGTTTAAGGTTGCTTCTGGGATGCATGAGATTATGTTTTAAGAAAAAGAAAAAAGGTTGCTTTTTAATCCCATTACTTTGCAATCACTAAGAGGCAGACAGGCAACAGTTTGTAGACAGAAAGGCTGATCAGCGAAGAGTCCTGCCCAAGCTCGCAGTGGGAAGAGAGCCCAGCTGCACACATGTCACACGGGGCCACTCCTGAGCTTACCTCACCCCTCGAAGTACTCTACCCTAGAGAAATGTCAGCAGAGACTGCTCCCTGAAGAGACCTCAGCTCCCATCCCAGGTGGGGCTGCACGGAGGCTTCAGGCTAGGAGGGGCCTGAAAGCTGATCTCTAGGAAGGCGTGGCTCTAAAACACAGGCAGATAAAAGCCTGGAGGGCCGGCACCAGTTTGGAGACCAGCAGGAGGCCCTGGGAGTCTCCAGCCTGTTTCTGCTGGACAGGTGAGCTGCCATAGCAGGCGAGCAGGTGGAGCTGGGGAGGGAGGAGGGTTGTGAGCCAGGCCCTGTGCGAGGGGAGAGGTTTGTACCCCGGATGGGATGGGACCTTCCAGGGAAAACCTGCACAGAAGGATGACAAGTCCCATCCAGAAATGGCTACTCATACGGTTTCTGAGTAGCCCAGGCAGAGCGGCACACACCCCACACATTCCTGCTAAAGACAGGATAGACCTCACCAGTCGGACGACCCAGCAGCTTGGCCTCCCCCCACCCCCCGTCCCCCCACTCCCCCGCCACCTACTCTGTTTCAGATGCCCATGGCCCCACGTGTCCTGCTCCTCTGCCTGCTGGTCCTGGCAGTCACTGAAGGCCATTGTCGGGAGGCAGCCATCCCAGGCTGCCACTTGCACCGTGAGTAACTCTCTAGGAAGAGTGGATTGGGGACGAGAGCAGAGGTGTCCCACTGAACACTGGGATAACCCCAACCAGCAGTCTTCACAGCCTGCTTCCTTGTCTCCTTCCAGCCTTCAATGTGACAGTGCGAAGTGACCGCCATGGCACCTGCCAGGGCTCCCATGTGGCACAGGCCTGTGTAGGACACTGTGAATCTAGTGCCTTCCCGTCCCGGTACTCCGTGCTGGTGGCCAGTGGCTATCGACACAACATCACCTCTGTCTCCCAGTGCTGCACCATTAGTAGCCTAAAAAAGGTGAGGGGCCTGGGCCTGATGGGGGCGTGAGGGTGGGGACCCAGGGTGGGAGGGGATGGGAGCAAACTTGGGTCCCTCCCCCAACAGGTGAAGGTGTGGCTGAACTGCGTGGGGAGCCAGCATGGGGAGATTGAGATCTTCACTGCCAGGGCCTGCCGGTGTGACATGTGCCGTCTCTCCCGCTACTAGTCCCTGGGTGGCCCAGGCTCCGGTCCTGCCACTGATCTGCTATGGGCAAATCTCTCAAACGAGGGGCTGCTTCAGCTCTGACCCTCTTTAGAGCCAGCGAAGATGGGCTTCCCTCCTTTTACCCGGCCTTCAGAGCAGTCTCACTGCTACGCTGTCCTTCACGCCTGTCCTCAATAAAGCAGGCAAGGCTTGAGTTTCGCTCTTTATTAAGTCTGCCCCCTAGCCAGGTGAAGGGGGCAGACCATGATTACTGTAACCCCCCCCCTCACCCCAGGACAATGTGAATCTCTTCTCGCCTGTGCCCTCACCCCTCCCCCTGCCCAATAAATAAAAAGGAGACAAGGAAGTACAGGGCAAGGGAGAGGAGAATGTCCCTGGACAGTGTCTTGTTGAGGGTGAGCTGGGCAGAATAAATAGACTGTGCCCCCGTGGTGGGGATGAGGAAGGCCCTGGCCAGGCTGAGGCAGGCCAGGCCAGGTGCTGAGTGCCCATGCCCCAGGACAGGGGCAGGGATGGGAGGCCAGCTGTACAGGGCAGGGGAGGATCCCTGATGGCAGCTTCCCAGTCACATGGTTGCCCTGGTCTAGTCTTGCCAGAATCTTGCCACAAAGGCCTGAGAGTTCTGCTGCCAAGACTACCATCTTGCGTTCTTGTCCCCCCACCATGAAAGCTGTTCCCATGGGGCTGGCAGGGAGTCCTAGAACCACTCTGGCAAGGCCACGGGGAGGCGTGGGCCTCACTGGGCCCCTGGGCAGAAGGGGTGGAGGGGCTGATAGCTCTGGGTTTAGCTTCTCCCCTTCTGGATTTGTCTAGCTCTGACCCCCGCTGGCAGCCACCTGGGGTGGAGGCCGAGGGAGGGGGGCTTCTTTAGCCCCTTGGGCCCCCTGTAGCCGGCGTAGCTGCAGTTCCTCCAAACCTCGCCAGAGCTCCTGCCGTTCCTGGGCCTTCTGCTGCTCCCTGGGGAGAGAGGAGAGGCAGCCCTTCCTCCCCCAGCTGCCAGCAGTCTAACCTCCCTCCCGTACCAGGACCCCACTGTAAAGTGACTAGGACTCCCGGAAGTCTCGGCTTGGAGGGGAGGGGAGGGGAGAAAGGAGAGGAAGAATTGGGCTGTGAGCTGCCAGGGTACGGGGAGTGAGAGCAGTCCGTGGGCAGCCCCTGCTGGAAACGGGGTGAAGCTGACGCACTGGGATGGGTCCTCTTCATATCCCCTCCAGCCTGAGGTCTGATGCCTTCCTGCTTTCCTGCCCTCCCCCGGCCAGCCTTCTGTCCAGTACTCACTGCTGTTTCTCCAGCTTGTAGGAGGCTGTGAGCTCATCGAAGAGCTTTCCATTCATCTCCATGAAAGTCTTGAGCACGTTGTAGATCAGCGATACGATGGTTCTGGCAGAGTCAAGGAGAGGTGTTAAGGAGCTGAATGAAATACCATTCTGCTCATCCCAGGTCATCTGACCACTTGCCTTTACCACCCTTTAGCATCCTGACATCTGCTCTCTGCCCATTAGGAGCGGCCCTGGGGGCCGGACCAGCTGTGGTGCCTGTCTCCAAGGGTTGGACAAAGCTTGGGCACTCACTGATTCCAGTGCTCCTTGGACACTTGGTAGAGGGTCCCAAATACCGCAGGCAGCACAGTGTGGCAGTTGTCCTCAATGAGGCTCAGGATGTACTCATTATTCCAGAAATACAGAGCCCGCTCTGCAACCTGGGCAGGGAAGCAGTAGAGGGCCTGGTAAGGGCTCTGGAGGGGACAAGGTCTGTTTTTCATCCTTCCCCCCAAACCCAGATCCTCCGACCTCCACAGCCCGTCCTGGGGGCTCCTCTGACCCACGGGAGGAAACAAATGGAGGAGAGAAAGGAGCACTGGTTTCACAGTCGACATCGGCAGTCCTGGCTCCTCCAGAGCCCACCGCACACGTGCGGCCTTGTGAGGCATTCAGCGCCTCAGCCTGAGCTGTCTGCTGTGTGAATGGGGCTAAGAATACCCATCTCCACCAGCTGCTGTCAGGATGAAATGAGTTCCTGTACTTCAAGGTGTTTTAAAAGTGAAATACCAGAGCCATCATGAGGAAGAACCAGCTTCCACCAGGTTATGGCTCCTAGGAGTGGGGGTGAGTGTACTGGCATGGGGGAACTGAGCCTCCTCACAGGAAATGGGACCAGTGAAGTCGAAGGTTACCAAGGAAAGAAGAGAGGGGCTAACAATCCTGCAATCCACTTTGTGTCGGTTTCCTGATGTGTTCACTGCTGTGAGCTCCTCTTCACTACGAAGAGACTATTGTTGGCCCATTTTATAGTCAAGGAAACCTACTTAGACTCAGAGAAAGTGCTCCTTCCAAAGCCTCTCAGCCAGTGGAATACCCATCTGCGCTTTGACCCTAGGTCTCATGACCCAAGGCCAGCATCTCCCTATTATCAGGTCTAGGGCTGGAAGAGAAGCTGAGGGAAGAGGGGACTATGTTAGGCCAACTTTGACACTTTGCCAGGCTGTGCCCTGCTCTGACTCCACCTGCCTTTGGCACATACCTGGAAATGGGGGCTGGAGACACAGCGAGCCACCTGCTTGAAGAGGGGCTCCTGGATCTTCACAAACTGGGAGGGCTCAATGACATCAAGAATCTCTTCCATCTCCCCCAGGAACATCACCTGGGGAGAGGGCAGGGCAGCAGCTCACGTTCTCCTAAAGCATACACCTGCTCGCCTTCTGGAAGCTGAGCCCTCCCACCCGCTCCCAGGGTTGTGAGAGCCGTTCATACCTCCTTCTGGGTGCAGGTTTTAGGCCAGTATTTGAGGAGCCCCCGGATAACCTGTAGGGTGGAGGAGGAGTCAGATACGCAGAGTGAGGGGCCCACCTTCCCTCCAAGGTACTCACATGCTCCGTCAAGGTGGCATCCTTCTCCAGGAACTGCACCACACAGTACGCCAGCTGCAGGGCCAGAATGGAAAGAAGGAGCCAAGGTCAGGAAGGGCCAGGAGCCAAGAACTAGCTGCCCGGGACAGCATGCCAGGTGTCTGCTCATTACTGCCTTCACACTCTTGTTCACTGAGCACTTACTGCTGCTTTGGACTTAAAGGCACCAAGCTCTCGAGTGCCAGGCGGCACAGAGCTGGTGTCTGAGGTCAGCTCTCAGGTAGAGGAGACTGACTCAGAGGTAAGATAGGATGCAGCAAGGGTCAGTCTGACTTCCTGGCCCCACAGGCAGCCCTGAGTGTCAGCAGCACCTGCTGCTGCAGGGCCAGGCCTGGGGCTCACCTGGGCATGAAAAACAGACAGCGACTTGACAGAGTGCAAGGGGATCAGGACTCGAACCAGGAACTGCTTGTGCTCGGTCTTCAGGGGCAACGCAAAGCCATTGATGATGCTTTGGAATGGACAGAAGAGAGGAGCAGGGCTCATCCAATCAGCCTCCCAGTCCCGCCTACCAGAGCCCCCAGCTCTAGCCAAAGCTAAGGAGAATTACCTTCCTAAGATCTCTAGCAGCTCAGCCACACCATTGAAGTGCTCCAGCTCATAGATGAACCTGCAGGAGAGAAGAATCTAGAGGGTGGGGGCTTGGGACAGGTCCAGCTCTCCGTCGGTCTTCCTGCCAGCCACCCTGACTCACCCCACACGGCTGTCCAACGTTCCCCAAACCACAGGAGTGCTCCCTTCCTGGCGCCCCAAACCGGGCCCCACTGAGTCCACACCCACAGGCAAAGTGTCTTACCCAGCCCAGCCATCTCGGCCACTGTCAGTCCCAGCTCAGCCTCTCATCTGTGAGACAGCCCCAGTTCGTTTCTTCCAGTCCCTAGCACTCCTTACCTGATGCCCAGCCAGCCAGCCAGCCAGCCAGCAGGCACCCAGCCTAGGACCTTCAACCTTCACGCAGTCAACCAAAGCAACGACAAACCCTGCACTGTAATTCCCGAAACCCCCCTGGCAGGCAGGGCATATGAAAGCCGTTACAGAGATGAAGCTGAGACTCTAACTAAAGGCTACTTGCCTCAAAGTTAATAAGTGGGGAAGCTAATGGACTCTGAGCTCCTAGAGAACATGGGTCATGTCTCTATTCTATCACTAGAAACAACAGCTAATATTTCAGCGGCCCCACCTCAGGCTAGGAGCTATGCCAGGTGTTTTGGAGACCCCATCAGGCTTCATCTGAAGAACGGACCCACATTAGCACAGGCAGTGTAACCATTTCAAAGAGTGAAGTAAACAGAGAACTTGAAGGACTTGCCCAAGTTCACCTGAATACTTGAACCAAACTCACATATCCAACCATAGTCTCAACTACAAGGTCACAGGGCCTCCCAATGCGCAGTGGATTGGTGCTCAGTACATGTTTGTAGAAAGCCTGATAAGGATCAGAAGATCTAGACTCTATATTGCACTGGACTGCCCTAGTCCCTCTAAACTACTTAACTGGCCTCTATTTGCTCATCTTTAAAATGGAAAGAAAACTCATTCTCTACTGATTTCACAGGCTTTGTATCATCAATACTATGCATTGCAGAGACAGAACTTGGTAAACATATAGTCCACACAGCCTGGGGGTCCCAGCAGGTCCCTCCTTCCCTGCCTCCCTCCCAGGTCTCTGCTGAGCAGACAGCAATCACGCACCGGAGGAAGATGTGGTTGCACTGTTTGCGGATGTAGGCCCGGAGACCCAGGAACTTGCCGTATACCCGATGCAAGATGGTCTTGAGGTACTCACGTTCCCGAGGGTCCTCGCTGTCAAATAGCTCCAGGAGCTGTAGGACCAGGGTTAGGGTATATAAGGCCAGGTGTCAACCCGTACTTTTCCCCATCCTATCCCCATGTTCCCCAGATAGCCTGTGCCTGCTGCAGGGTACCACCCAGCCTGGGCTCCCCAAGTCACCATCAGGACAAACTTTTGATCCACATATCTCTTGGCCACAGAGGGCTGGAAGTCTGGACTCTCCAAGAAACGCAGGAAAAACTCATATACCAGCTGGGGGTGGGAGACAGACCAAAAGGTGAGTTCAGTTACAGCCTCACCCACTCCCCTTACCTTGCAGCTCTCAGCAACAGTCAGAAACTATACAACTCTCCCCACAGCCCTCCAGTCGCCTCTGAAATGCAGACCCCCCTGCTCCCCAGCCCTTCACACCTGTAGATGTGGCCACGAAGGCTCAAGGTTGGGCTCATCCTCTTCAGGGTCAAATTCAGGGTTCTCACTGGGTGGCAGGGTCCGA